TTGGCCACAACAACCCCATGCAGCGTTATAGGCTTGGGGACGAGTGGCTGGATGACTGTGAAGAGAAAAGGAACCTGGGGGTGTTGGTTGATGCTCGGCTGAACATGAGCTGACAGTGTGCCCAGCTGGCCAAAAGGGCCGGCACCATCCTGGCCTGCATTAGAAACAGTGTGGCCAGCAGGAGCAGGGAGGTGATCATCCCCCTGTACCTGAGTACACTGGTGAGGTCACACCTTGAGTATTGTGTTCAGTTTTAGGCCCCTCACTACAGGAAAGACATTGACACCCTGGAACGTGTCCAGAGAAGGGCAACCAAACTGGTGAGGGGTCCGGAACACTAGTCTTATGAGGAGCAGCTGGGAGAGCTGGGATTGTTTAGTCTGGAGAAGAGGAGGCTCAGGGGAGACCTGATTGCACACTACAACTTCCTGAAGGGAGGCTGTGGTGAAGAGGCGTTTGGCCTCTTCTCCCAGGCAACAAACAGGACCCGGGGAAGTGGCCTCAAGTTGTACCAGAAGAGGTTTAGGTTAGACTTAAGGAAGAACTTTCTCTCTCAGAGAGTGGTCAGGCACTGGAATGGCCTGCCCAGGGAGGTGGTGGAGTCGCCGTCCCTGGCAGTGTTCAAGAGGCGTCTGGATGAGGAGCTAAGAGATGTGGTTTAATAGCTTGTGGTAGCAGTGGTAGTGTGAAGACGGTTGGACTAGATGATCTTATAGGTCCTTTACAACCTTGTGATTCTATGATTCTATGACTTGCCAGATGACACCTGGCAACAAATTAGTGGGGAGAGTGGGAGGACATGATCATGGCAAGGGAGTGAATGGTAGCAACCAGGTTGGGATGAACTTCTGCTTATCAGAAGTCTTAGCATTTGTTTCTGAAATTGACTAGAACAATAACAAAATATTTCCCATTATATGGCAAGGTGAGGGATATCTTTGAACCAAATATTTTGCATTCATCTTGAACTGTTCTTAGCAATAAATGACATCTCATATCAAACATAAAAATATTTTACTAGACTATAAAAATAGGTTTTAGAATAAACTTTTCCTGTCCCAAATCAAAGAACAGGCAGATAACGTACTCAAAAAATTCAGTCACATTTTGGTACTATACCCAATTTTAGTAACTTTTCCCCCCTGTGGACATGGCTGGTAATAGAAGCAACATGAACGTGTTTGATCCAACCGAAAGATAGCAACTGATGCAGACAAGGGTAAAAGACTGCTTCTCAGTTCTAAATACATAAGCTCGAACCCACTTCTCCTCTTCATCAGGAGGGAGCTCATGGCCCGGCCCGTAGCATGCTTTAGGGTACAGTGCTGAGCTACCAGCACAAGGGACCGGGACTGAAGGCAACTGAGTGACAGCACACAGCCTCCTGCCCAGCACCTCAGCCCTGCAGCACAACTGTGGCCCAGGCAGCACCTGGTCTGGGGCGAGTCAGAACTGCTTGAATCACAACCTGCACTACGTTGTTGTTTTTTTTTTTTCCACTGGGAACAAAGCTCTGTGCAATTAAGAACAGGACATCCTTTAGTTCAAAGAAAACTCTTAAAACTACGCCTTCACCTTTTTTTTTTTTTTCTTCTCTTCTCTGCCAAGACAGGCAGTTAGCAGCAGCTCAGCATTCCCAGCCACATGCAGGTTGCCAGAGCTGCTTTTCTTTCTCCAAACATCTGTCACATAAGCAGACCTACCAGTTATTTTACATCCATGCTTCTGCTTACAAAAGCCTGCGGCAGGAATAAGCCTGGCTAGCACCAGCAGCATCAATGGACTCTGTTCTATAGGGCAACTCCACTCCTAAGTATGGCTGCTCCTGTGCACCAGTGCACCTAGCCACAGGGCTTCAGTCCTACAAAAGCCTTGCATCCCTATAGGAGCTGACTACTCTGCTACAGCTCCCTTCCAATTTCTTCTCTTTTAATGCAGCAGCGCCGCACTTTGTCAGGAGGCCAAAAAACATGGATGGACCTACTGCACCCTCTTATAACACCCAATCCTGATGGAGGATAAATAGCTTGTCACCTTCTAGGGGTTGCTCTCTCTATTGCAAAAGCTTTCTCTGGAAGTCCTCAACAGAAAAGACAGCACCAATAGTAACGTGGCAGTACCTACCTAAACCATGGAAGGTTACAAAATTAACTAGGTTCATAGGTTACTGAGACGTATTCAGTAACGATAGCCACCAATACAGTGGTTTGATCATTAATAGCATGTCAGTCAGCACAGACCTTCCTTGCCCTTCCAGTCTCAAGCACCAAAAGCCATTTGCACATGAAGCCTGCCTGCACTGAGCAGGTCCCTATAGCTGTTGCTGTGAATTCAACACTACTGCCACATGACAACCAGAAAACTCCTGTTCAAAAAGCATTCCAGCATAGAACTATGAAACCTGAAGCTACCTGGAATTTCAAACAAGAAAGTACAGTCTTATATGAAAAAGGCCCTTTTAAACAAAGAGACCCTTTTAAACTTCAGAGGTTTAAATCCTGTATTACGACTACTTGAGGTTTGATCCCATTTTTCAACACAGAAATAAGATACTCTTTAAGTTTAATACATATGTCTAACTCATGAGCATTCTTTTCTTTCCTTCTTGGGTAAAAATAGGTTGCTTAAAAGACAGTTTGGTTGAATATGCTGGATAACTACAGAAAGATTTTTTTTTTTTTTTTTTTACTGAAGTTCCCTCTCACTGAACTGCACAGAAAGCAGAGTTAAACCTCTTTCTTGCCTTACAACACTGAACCTGCTATCTCAGCATCAAACTGCAAGAACCTGGCTACTACTAATACAAAGAAAGGTAGCACAAGATCTATTTTAGTTTAAAATACCTCAAAGGACAAATGTTGAAGATGTATGAAAAGACACATCCCTTTCAAAGATCTGTCACAAGTTCTCCAGAACAAAACATTTGCTCAGTCCTCTCACCTTTACCTCAGATATGCTACTCCTGGAAGGCAAGATACCACTCTGCTGAAATAAAACAGGTCATTGATACCATGACAACAGAACATAAGCAACATTTGCCTGTGAGTCAGTAAAAAGCAAAAAGCACAGCTACATAAAGTTTTCATAGAAACTGGCAGAGAAGACTGGCTGGAGAAGACTGGGAATACAAACTTACAGAATGAAGCTAGAGAAATGGATGCACTGAAGTGAGAACATCCCAGAAAACACGGATAAGTGAGCAAATAGACTCCCCCTAGAGACATCTCAGAGAAAATTCAAGTCCGGAAGCCAGAATGCCTGCTGGAACATTCCTACAGAACAGTGTAAATTGTTCTTTACCAAATTTAGTAATTCTACATAGCAGTCAAAAACATTTGAAATTTGGCACAGCACATTCATAGAAATGAAACATGAGAAATTATCCACATAAGATTCCCATAAACCTGTATGGCAGATCCCCACAAATTCTCCATAATTACCACTTCAAAACATTTGCTTGAAGAACACCTTTTTCTTATGCCAACAGCTAAACAGCCAAAGGAAAGGGAATAGACAAAACCAAGTTAAAAGTGTCAAAGAAATACCAAAACAGGTACTGAGTCAAGGGGCATGGTTAAACTGTTGTCTAACACTGATTGTAAAGCAAGTTTTTAATTAACTCCAATGCATAAATGAAGATCCATTTTCAAATAAGGAAGTCACAGAGTCTCCTACAAAAATAAAGTATCTGTACCAAATGTATTCCACAGCTGTTCTTTCTGAATTCCACCTTAAATATTACACTAGGATGAACAGTATTGAAAAATACAGTGTTTCTGTTACAGCACAGAAGGCTATTTTGTGGAAAACAAGTAAATTATAATGTGGCTCACAGCTCAGAATTATTATTTGTTATTTTCAATTCAGGTCTGTCCCCATTAAGTTACAGGTTACTCACATCCAAGAATTTTTACACAATCTTTCACTAGTCTATAATGATATGTACTTTAAAAAAAACCTTGAATACACTGTGGTAAACTATAACTAAACACTTTTTCCACCTCAGAGAAGTGGTAAGAATCTTACTACGAAATAGCAAAGCTGATGTTGTTCTTGGCAAAATATTTACCATAATCAGAATTCTAAGACCTAACAAAGAAGTCATTAAAAAGGAAGTTACATTTAGCTTTTTTATGATGGACATCAGAAACATTCATTTTGCAGTGTAAACATTTCAACATTATTATTATTTTTAATGAAAGCAACCATACTGTAATTTTAAATATAAATTCTGCTTTCTTTTCTAAGTCAGCTGGAGAACATGAACCAGTTTTCACTAGTCAGTACTTGCCAGCAGTGCTAAACTTCTTCCTTATCTGCATAGACCCAGAGTATCAAGGCTGCAGTCCAGTTATCTCCCCAGTTTAACTTTCTTTACTAACAACTAAAGGATGCTGTCTATCTTGAGTGTGGTAGCCTGAGGAAAACTTATCAGTGAACACGCTGATCTAAGCTTACACTTGGATGAGTCAGAGAAGACTCCATGGGGGAAAAAGGCTTATTACAACAGCACAGGTAGACATTTACAAAAGATCTACTAGTGGGTCCAATCAGTAGATACAATTGCATTTAACAGCTACATACTACGTGAACCATTACTTCCCATACAGCAAGTGCCAGAGGCTGCTGCAAAAGACTGCCACATTAGATTTCCACTCTACAAATTCAGTGACTGATGGAGAGTACCTGGGGAGGTACAGATAATTCAGCAAAATCAGAATGGAGTGGAAGAGGGGTCACACATTAGTCATCAAGAAGAAGCCTTCTTGCTATTCACCTTTGTATTTTGACACAGCTGAACATACTACATCTTCTTATGGCTAGCACTCTTTGTAAAGTGTATTATTTAACTTTTATACACTAGAAATACAGCTGTTTTAACATACACACACCTTGAGAGCAAATCCTTGCAACACGAATTACAAAGCTAATACACACAGAGCACTGATTTTGCTGGAGGCCAGGAAGTCTCTGTTAAGAAAGGCAACCTATTTTTTTTCTTCTTTTGCTTGTTTAAGTTAAATTTCTAAATAGAACTTACATATTTTAACTGAATGGAAAATACATGAATGCAACAATCAGAATCCTGTGACAGGCTCTCACACAACTTAGTTGTTAAAATCTGTTTTACAAACTCTGTCCTTTAATTACCAGATTTAACTAAAGCTATCAAATACAGAATGGAATTGCCTGAATACATCTTTTTGGTACGAGACAGCAGCTTTGCTGAATAACACATTACCAGCACTTTTCAGACACTGAATATACTCAGAAATATGATTAAGACACAAGCAAGATCACACAAGTTTTTTGTAAATACTCTTATGTAGGTTTTATAGCTTTTCTTGATTCTTTAGGAAACTCTTGAAGGGAAAAAGGAATGAAGAATTCCAGAAGAGAGTTGACTTCATTCAGTTCCAGACTGTATTCTGCTGCTATTTTCTCTGCAGTCCATATCTGAGGATGAAGTTTATGATTATTAAGAAGCATCAGAGCCTCCACAAGGGAAATTTTGCCTTTGGGAACTTTCTTAATATCTAGCTCTTCCAAGTGACCTAGTTTTGTCAATCTCTTTTCCACCTGTTTACGTGGAAGATGTTCAGCACCTCCATCTTTTACCTAATTGTGGGAAGAAAAACAAAAAGAGATTAACAGCAGTTCCTTTTACTATGCTCTGTAACAGTTAAGCTATTTCTCTAAATATGGCATTTCCCATTAATTTTTCCCGTTTTCACAGCCATAAATAGTTAGCTTAGCCACCCTCGCTTCTTAATATCAAAGATATTACAGGTAGTTGTTTCACAGCCACTCCATATAGAGGGCCAACTCCCTATCCACATCATGAAAAGCTACAATCCAGTACTGTCGAAGTGCTGCACAACTCAGCAGCCCTTCATACAAGCCATTTGGTAGCCAAATGTAAATGCATATGATCTATTATTTGATATTGATTCATGCCAGTGGGGAAGGGAAGGGGAAAAAAATCACACTGAAAATTGGTATCCTTCTCATGAGACCACTGGAAATTCTTTTCATTCTCCTCTCCTTTCATATTTCAATTTTGCAACTAAAAGGTATCACCTCTCTTGCTCTGTCTCCAGAACAAGCTCTGCTGAACAAAGAAAAATTATTTAGCACCATCATGTGCAATTTAAATCTCAAGACCACTGTAATACTCAAGACACAGAAAGTCTCTTCTTTCAAGTCCTTTTTTATTTCCTTTTCTAAATAATTTCCAAACCTGCTCTACCTTCCCTATATTGCTTTTTATTAAAATTTCACTAATGAATGACACTACAAAAAAGAAACAATGGAAACCTTCTTAAGAAAAAGTACTTTTAAAGGAAAGTGTCTGCAGCTACTGTATTAACCCAAAGCTGAGAAAACTTACGTGGATGCTACAGCATTAGTAACTGTCTGTTTCTAAATTACACAAAAACTCTGACAATGCTACCTACTTTTTTCTTAATTTCCCGCTAAAATTATACTCAGATAATGAACAACTTTTCAATCCCTAATAAAATGACCAATCTCTAGGTATCTGTCACCACAGGACTGAAAGCTGATACTTTTTCATGTAACACAGACATACCAAATATGCATACACTTTGCACAAAGTATACAGAGGAAAGAAATGTTCTGAAAAACATCAGGACAAGAAGAAAGCTTTTAGAAAGAAGCTTTTGCTCTCAAGCCTCGCTGTTAACACATTAACCAAACTTTTCCTAACAACTTTAGGCAGACACACCACAAGTACAAGTCTTATGTGGCAGCTGTCTTGCAGGAGGCACAGAATGAGGAACTGAGATTTGTTCCACTTGTGGCTTTTCCTGAAACCTCTCCTGACAGGCTTACAAATGAAAGTGTTTAAAGATATTGCTGCAATGCTGGTTTTTGCTGATGCAAATGGTCTGATTTTTGGGTGGTGCTGTTTGGATCCAGGAGTTGGACTTGTTGATCCTTAAGGGTCTCTTCCAATTTGGGATATTCTATGATTCTATGTTGCAATTAGACTTTCAGCTCAGCAAGATTAGAGTCCTAAACTCTATTATGAAAATTAAGAATAGAGATTACTTGGAAGCTTCAGGGAAGAGTGTCTTTTAAAATACTTTAGCCTTAAATAGATGGTACTATGGATGCGGCAAACCAGAAATACTTCGGAATAATTAGAAATGTTATTGCTAGATGAGTATAAAACTTTTACTAGTGAAATAAAGAGCTAAAATAAAATGGTCCAATAATGCAACAGGTAAAAAGGTGGAAGAAGGCGGAAAAAAAAGAGACTACGCCCCAGCCTGCCTGTTACTGAATGGGGTATGCCTTACTCTCCAAGTTAAAGACTGCAGTGTTGGCAGTGAGTAACCTGATGGCCAAACAGTCCACAAGGCTGTACAAGAATAAACAAACTCAGGCATTTCCTGAGCCACATAAGGAAAAAGCTCTGTATGAGATGTCATTAACATCAGAAATCTTTTAATGCCTTTGCTATCTACCACATCCATGCCTCAACATCAGTCCCAACTTCTTTTCTTCTAAGAGCCACATGGGACATCTCTGGCAAACAGCATCTCTCAGAGGGGGTTGGTCAACTGCTCTTTCGCATTTGAGGGGGCAGAAACTGGAACTTAGGTGAAGAACAAAAGATCACTGCTATGTTAGAATGGAGGACTGCAAGCATAGAGGTTGCATGATCACAATCTGTGCTACTGGTGTATAACTGGGCACTGAAAACATCACATTTATCTACCAACAGCAAAGCTTCTAAGCACTAACAGAGTGTTATTCTTTAAAAAGAAAAATGCCTTGCATTGGGCTTGAAAACAACAGAGCTGATATTTGTATGCCTCCTGCAGAGAGAGAGGCACTCACCTGTGCAGGGGGGTCTCTGGACTCCACATAAACATCTTTTAACAAGGTGAGGAGCCTGTCGTCCTTCCTGTAAATTTCTTGCTGTATCTCAGGGCGGTCTGAAGGCGAAAGGGATAAAGAACACAAAAACATAAGGAAACAAACAAAAGCGGAGAGGCGAGTCACAAAACTTCCCTTCCTGTTAGCGGTGCCCCAGCACCAGCCCATCCCCGTTACCCGCAGCAGGTTACGCACACAGCGGCGCGGCCCCTAGCAACCATCCTACCGACGGCCCCGCCCAACGCCGCCGGCCGCGCTCCCGGCATGCCCCGCGCGCCGCCCTGCTCAATGTCACCGGCCCCGCGCCGCTTCAGCCCACCGCGCGGCCCCGACCCCACGCCCCTCCCCGCGCTGCGGCGCTGCTCCCGCGCGGCCTGCACCGCGGGCCCAGCTCTCCCGCGGGCGGCACCCCTCGCTGCAGCCGCCCCGGTGAAGCCGGCCCTCACCGGTCAGGTCGTCTAAACGGCTGGTGGGGTGGCGCGGCGCGGGGGTGGGCTTCTCCTTGCTGATCTCGCGGCGGGCCCGGCTCTCCACATTGAATGTCCGGAATACGCGCGCCAACCTCCCGCCCATCGCCGCCGCCGCTGCGTCCCACGCTGCGCCTGCGCAGAGCGGCAGGACGCATGCGCGGAGCGCTGGCGCGACGCCGGGGCGGGGTGAGCTGGCAGCGCGGGCGGCAGTTGACCCTGGGGTCGGCCGTTGGTCCTGGCTCAAACACCTGACAAATAAACGCACAAAGACGCGAGCCGCTGTTTATTTCGCAGCTTTTTGTGGCACCGTTTTCTCTGGCGCTGGCTAGGTGCCTCCGGGGCGCTTGGCCCCGTCGCCACGTCGGCCAGGGGCAGCCCCACGCACGGCCCGAGGCTGCCGCTTGTTCGCGTGTGGCTGCGGGGTCACCTCTTCCGAGGCCAAAGGCTTCGGCTGCGTGTGTGTCAGTGACTGCCAGGGCCGGCTGCTTCCTACTGGGGAGCGTCCTCCAGGTGGCAGGCTCGTCCCGAGTTTCCTGCACGCAGCCTCGGTAACATCAGCGGCAGCGTTTGGTGCGAGGTACGGGGATTGCTGGCTGATAGGTGACTCTGTATCTATTTTCTAATTGTATTCACTTGATTTACAAGCAGGGTTATATTCGATACAAATACAGGAAGCCCTAGTGGAATCCAAGGCGAAAACGTGTATTGGGTAGGTGAATGTTATCCACACCAAAAAGCTGTATTTCAGAATTCACAGGCTTAAAAGATCATAGAATCATAGAATAATCTGGATTGGAAGTGACATTAAAGCCCATCTCATTCCAACCCCCTGCTATGGGCAGGGCTGCCCCCCTCAGCTCAGCTGCCCAGAGCCTATCCAACCTGGCCCTGAACACATCCATGGATGGAGCACCACAGCTCCTCTGCGCAGCTGTTCCAGTGCCTCACTGTCCCCTGAGTAAAAAATGTTTCCTAACATTGAACCTAATTTTCCTCATTTAGTTTAAAGCTATTCCGCTTTTTCCTATCGCTATCAGACTATGTTAGCATAAAGTCAACCTCCCTCCTGCTTATGAGCTCCCTTTAAGTACTGGAAGGCCACAATGAGATCTCTCAATTGAGAGATCTCTCCATTGGGCTCCATCAAAAGAGGGGTGGCCAGCAGGGACGGGGAGGTGATTGTGCCTCTCTACTCTGCCCTTGTGAGGCCCCATCTGGAGTAGTGTCCAGGTCTGGAGCCCCCAGTACAAGAAAGACAGAGAGTTGTTGGAAAGGGTCCAGAGGAGAGCCACAGAGATGATCAGGGGACTGGAGCACCTCCCCTATGAGGACAGGCTGAGGGA